TCACCAACTTTATTAAGTGTCTTGAGTAATTCTTCTCGACTTTTAGGATCACCAGTTTTCTTTTTAGAGAGTTCCATCAATCTTTTTGACTCTTCAATTTGTCGCCTAATTAATTGTTCTCTTTGTTTTTGAATTTCAAGAATTGCCTTAATATTTTCTTTTTGTTTTTTGGCTTTCTCTTCTGCTTCCTTTGTTTTCTCTGCAGTGGTCTGTTGTACCGAAGATTCTGTAGAAACGGGAGCAGCAGCGGTGGCTTCTTGTTTAGAAGTTGCAAATGGTTGTTTTGTTCCTGCAGAATTCTGTTGTTCTTCCTTTTCCTTAAACCAATATACCTTAACAAATCTATTGCCAAAAATAGGTTCTGGAGAATTATAGGCTTTCTGGGCATCTTGATTACTATTAAACTGGATTATTGCCTTTTGATTAGTAACATCAACATTGATGTTGGTGATTATACCGAATTTCTTAAAAAATTCATTCACTTTATCCAAATTACAAAATTCATTAGGTATTCTTTCTACGACCAATGTCGAGCTTTTATTTGTTTGGGGCCCATATCTACCAGCAAAACCACCACGACCAGCACCACGTGAACGGGCACGACCTCTAAATGTTGTTCCAGCACCACTAACATTAATATGTGCGGATTGTTGTTGTAAGCTTGCATCTAAAAAAGCAGCGACAGGTGGTGTTGGTGTCAATGTAATTGCAGTAGTTTCGTTAACAGAGCCTTCTTCAGTTTGACCTTCGACGACTTCATTTTGTTCAAGTGATTTGGATGTCAACAATTCTTCAGGCCTTGATAAAGTAGCTCTTTCAGGATCATAAGCGTCGGCAGTTGGTGTCATAGATCTAGATGTTTGTGAAGCTTAGGGAATGTAACCAAATAAATGATTTTTAGTTTTTAGTAAAGGAATGATTTAGAGGATAGATAATGAAAAATATTTACAAAATCCTGGATCCAGCTCAAATTGACCACGAACGGCAGGTGCAGTTAAATAAAAAGGTGGTCTAGGAGGACCGCCAATTAAACCAACTGGGCCAGATAAAGCTGAAGTGATAGGTGGCATAATATCATACGGTCGATTTAATTGAACATCATCTACCACAATTCTATCAGCCCCATGATCAAAAGGACAAAGGTCGCCACGCATGCAATATCCCTTTTCTGTTTCAATAAAAAATATAAACATAAATAATACAAATTAACAAATGATGATTATTTTATAATTAAAATATCTCCATTTACCATCATAATCTCGACATCGCTGACGTCTTCCAGTCGGTCTATTCTCAGGGTAGCCAGCACGATTAATCATAACAGAACCACCTCTGCTACCAACAGTTCCTACTCTTCCAGCTCTCAATCTTCTGTCATCATAACGATCATTTACCGGAGCAGACATTCCATTACCACTCCATTCATTTATCCAACGACCAGAAGCTAAATTATATGTTGATAATTCAAGGTTAACGATTCAAAAAATTACAAATAAAAAACACATGCTAATATTCAACATTTAAATTACCAGAAGCATAGCCATTCCCATTTCCAGGTAAATTTTGATTATTTCCTATCAAATTATTTCTTGGAATTTTATTTGAACGATATTCTTCTTCAGGTTCATCACGCCGTCGTTTAAAATTTCTATCATCTTGATAATTGTTATTGTTGTTGTTGTTGGTGTGGGTGATAATAATAATCGTGAAGATTATCGACGATATCCTGAGCGAGCATCTTCAAATCGTGATGATCATCGAGACTCAAAAAATAAAAGA